AATTTGGCCCGCGGGCTCCACTTTGGGCACCTCTGATCTAGTTTAAATGTTTCAAATTTCTGCCTTTAATTACGGAAACTTTAGAGTTTTTTCCTCGCAAATTTGCGACTTTTCAAAATAAGAGAATTTCTATTTTTTTCTCGAAGATTTCTGAAATTAATCTCAGAAACTGAGTTTTTTTCTCATAGATTTACTCCTTTTTTTTCATCTGCAATGTGGCCCTAATATACCGTTGTAGTGTTTAATACAGCTGGCAAAATCAATCYAGAAAATATTCATGATGTGCTTCTTTTTTTAATTCAGCATATTATTCAAAAACATCCTTCATTTTATGAAAAGACCCTCTTGATTCAGTAGAGAACAGATGACAGCGCGCAGGAAAGGAGGAGGCGGGACTTATTTCTAGCTGCAGAGCGGGTTGGAAGATGTTATTTAATGTTTTTTTTAAGGTCTCAGAGGCTCTGAAATGCAAAATAAAAATGAAACTGAGGRTTTTAAAAATTGACCCCTCCTCTCTCTCCCCCTCAGGGCGGCTGGAGAAGGTGACCATTCCCCCTCCCCCAGCCCCTCCCTCAGGCAGAGGTTGTTCCACAGCTGGGTGGAGCCCGCCGACTCACCGTCGCCCCCGCTGGACGTCACACACCCCCCCACAGCAGAGGAGCTGCTGACCCACAGAGTCCTGCAGGACTTAGAGGAGGAGAAGAGGCAAAGCAGGAGGTTTAAACTCTGAATATCTGTAAAAACACAAAGAGTTTAGTTTTAGTTCAGAACTMCATGATTTTCTGTTTTTACTAAACTAAAATTTAGATTTTTAAAAATATTTTATGTTTTGGTTCAGAAATCTGCTTCAGAAGGTGTAAAAGTCGTCCTGTCTGCAGGTGCATGGAGCAGATTAAGAGCTGGGCGGACGGAGCCCCGTTGGACATATTGTCCTCCCCGCTCCTCATCCCATCCTCCACCCTGATGTCCACGCCCACAGTCCTACGGCCTGCGTCCAAACACAGAACTCCAAAGGCAGCTTTGACTCAGGTGTTCACACGTTTCTGTTATTAAAGTTGAGAACGACTCGGAGCTGCTGTGAAATGTTAAATATTTCTCTGCTTTCTCAGATATGTGAGCCTGAGGAGCGTCGGGACGCAGCGGCCCGGTCCAGGATGTCCCAGCTGTGGAGGATGAAGGACCTGGAGCGGCAGATTTCTGCCAGTCGAGAGGAGGAGCTGGCCTGCAGGCTGAGGCTGGACGCCTGGCTGAACATCGTGGACGACTGACGGGAAAACACTTTTTTAAAACAAGAGAAGCAGCTGAGCCTGCAGCCGTCTCCTCTTACTTCTTTTAATTCATGCTTTTAAAATATCTGAATTTAGCAGAACATTTTCGTTCTTATACAATATTTTTTTATCATTTAATTTTGTTATAAGTGTGCCTTAGTATTTTTTGCAAGCTTTAACAGATGTTAAACTTATTTTTTTTTGCCAAATAATAAAATAAAAATGGATATTTTTTGGTAAATCTGGATGTTTCTCAATGATTTTACTTTAAAAAGGTGTGTTTGCTGTAGGATGAATCTGATTGGACGATTTCAACATAGTCCTGCCCAAACGGTTGTTCATTGGACAGCAAAACTTCATTTCCTGAGACGACACCACAAAGGATGCTGGGAAATGATGTTTTATCCATTTATGAATGGACCAGAACGCGATTTTGTTTCAGAAACATCCATCCATCCATCCATCCATCCATCCATCCATCCAT